ATCTCCTTCTCTCCACGGACGGGTATACGCTGACCGGTGGCTGTTACCAAATTAATGCGTTCTCGGTTGTATGCGGAGTCCCCAAGGAACTGGCTTATAAGTTGGGAACTAACAACCGTACGAGAGGCTCCAGTGTCTATGGTCAGTTTACACGGCATTCCGTTGACCTCGCCCTTGATGATTAGACTGTTCCCATCATGGGTTTGTGAGATCGAGATCCTTGGGGCTCTTTTAACATCAGCCAGCACCCGCCCCGCAGTTCTGGCTTTTACTCGTTTCCCTGCTGCTGCAGGGCGGTGCTGTTGGACGCACTACCCTCCTGAGATCGTACACCTTCCCTTTCTAGGGTTCGCTTAGGGCAGCTGGATCGAAGATGGCCCTTTTCCCCACAGCCATAGCACCTAGGGCTGTATCCTCTGTTGCGGTCGCGAACTGTAGCTGCTGCAACCTCCCTGATGCGATGGGAACGATGATCCTGCCGCACGGCTTCCACCTCCAGTGCATGGGCCAAGGCGTTCTTAAGCGTGTCGTGGTGCCCGAGTCTCACAGCAGCTCTGACTTCAAGGTCGCGGATGCCGTCGATGAATGTCTGAACCAGGTTCCCTTCAATGAGCGCAGGTACAGACTGGTATGCTTTTCGAACCATCTTCTCCACCTCAAGGGCCCACTGCTGCAGGTTTTCGTTGCTGCGCTGCACGCGATCTTTAAGCTGCGCGCGAAAGACGTGTTCCAGATGAGCGTCGCCATATCTCGCTTCCAAGGCCTCAAGAAGCTGCTCATAGGTCACTTTCTTACCGAGAGCTTCCAACACAGTTAAGGCTTGGTCGCGCAGGCCTAGGGTGAGTGCAGTCATGGCTTGGCTTTTATTCCAGCCGTTCGCCTCCATGACGGCCTCGAACTGGATTTTGTAGGCCGACCAGGAAGAGGTACCGTCGAACGGTGGCACCTTAAACCCACGTAGCGAAGGTGTTGTAGCTACTACGGGAGCTGTAGCTCCATCTCCAAGTTTGAGTTCGTCCAGTGATTTCTTCATGTCAGCCATTACGTTGTCAACCCGATTGTTCACTTGGTCGATTCGGGTTTCAGCTTTCGCGATTTGGGTTTCAGCTTCCGACAGGCGGTTGTCATGCTGAGCAACCCTATCCTTCACCTCCCTTATCTCTTTCCCGAATGTAGCGTGAAGGTCCTTAATGAGGAGCATCTGCTGTTCCGACCGACGGGCCTGTTCCTCCTGTCGGCGGGCCTGCTCCTCTTGTCCGCCCCGCAGCTGCTCTTCCAATCGGCGGGCCTGTTCCTCCTGTCCGCTCTGCAGCTGCTCTTTCAACTGACGGACCTGTTCCTCCTGTCGGCGAGCCTGCTCCTGCAGCATCACCATCAGAGCACCTAAGTCAGGTGCTGCAGATGTAGGAGCTACCGACGGGCCTGCAGCCGGTGGCTGGCCCTCCGACGTCTGCGGCGTTGCACCACCAAATCTTCGTTGGTCCGTCTCCTGCTGGCGTTGACTTCGGGTACGAACACCCTCCGTTTCCTCCTTAGGTAAAATCGGCATGATTTTATCCCACTTCTGACACCAATTGTTACGAGCTTGAGGTTCGTGACAATAAAAATTGCCGATAAAATTACCTAAATTAACACTTTAATTTACTTTACACAATTAAAGTTAAAACACTAATAATTTAAACACACTAATTCACTTAATTCCACTCCGAAGCTTCGCTTGTTTCGCCCAAATCAACACTGCCTCCATCGCATCTTGCAGCGCCTATATATTTAAATTAGCAAAGAAATATCCAGAATGTTCAAGTAAACACGCGGAAGGTATCGAGCGTTCGAGTTTCGACTAGGCGCTGTCAGTTGAGCGATTTGTGATGTCATTTTCTCAATGCTCCCCTCGCTCTCGTTCCTGACACTAGATGGCGCTAGTTGACTTATTCATGCAACAATATTAATATTTTCGTATAGAATAAGGGTGACAAACGAGCACACAGTTCAACTGATGGTAAGTGGATGCTGTGACCCATAGACATCTACATTTATCTTCAATTGAGAATCAAAATGCAGATGCGTTGCCAGCCCTGAGGACTGTGATCGAATGCCTCGTTTCCAGTAAAAAGGGTGCGCCCGTTCTTTATACTTATCATACGAAACACAGCAGCATTAAGCTGCTATTTCACACTGGTATTCCATGAGAACGTGGTTCTTCTCCGGTCGAGCCGACCACAATATAGCATGACTCTACCACGTAAAAAAACTAATACTTATACTCCTCTTAACTACGCCAAGTTTGTCAAAAATGCTTGGAGTGTAAGTTTAAAGTGGTTCACGACAGTAATCAAATGGGGTATTCAAACCTAAAACTTTTTAATTTTGCAGTCCGGTACTGTAGCTTCTTTATCATTGGTTACCGTTTCTTTAATCTATATGTAGACATCGTCACTTCAGCTTACTGTTCCATTGGGCTAAGTCGGTTACACTAGTCTGCTATGGGTACCTTCATTACGAAGTTCATCACGGAGAGAAACTTCGAGCATAGTCGTCTAGTCGAGCGACCATTAGTAACGTAATAGGTTTAAAAAATGTATGGTCTAAAGAAATTACAAAATATAACTTATCAGACAACTTAAAACTATTGAGTTCAATTAGGTTGTGTAGAGCATGCATATTTACATGATATTACATTTTGATTCATTATGGGGAAATATAACCTCAAATGGCTTAGCAAGATCCTCCGTTATGCCGAAAATATTGCAACATTAATTTTGAAATAAATGTATGGTAAAATTGAGGATTAATGTTAAGGACTATGTTAGACGAAAACATGATTCCGTAAAATTTTCTCGATAGAAAAAAAAGCCAAAAATTACCTCCAAACTGAACAATAAACCGCTGTTATTAAAATAAAAATACAAGCTTGGAGCAAGCTTGTTCCAAGTTTCAGGACGCCGATAGTTTGGGTAATTTCTTTTTACAGTGAAAATAATGGTAATTTAAGAAAATTAAAAAAAACGTAAACCCTGTTTTATAGTTAGTTCAATTAGTATGCAAAGTTTCATGATCTTATTTAAAGTATTTCATGAATAACACGAGAATAAAAAAATCATGTTTTCGTCTAACATAGTAATTAATAATAATCCTCAACTACACCATAAATTTAATTCAAAATTAATGCTGCCGGCATAACGGAAGATCTTGCTAAACCATTTGCGGTTATATTTTCCCTTAATTCTATGATTTCAAACAGTTTCAGTTTCTAAATGAAATAAAAAATAACTCAAATTATATATATATATATATATATATATATATATATATATATATATATATATATATATATATATATATATATATATATACCCCATAATAATACGTGATAATGTTCTCTTTGCATATTTAGATTGTAGATGGTATTTAGCGTAGTAATTATTGTTTATCTGTGCCATTAGCATCGTCATACGGCCAACAAATAACAGACAATATTTACTACATTTGCTAATATGTAATTAAAAAAAATCGTGACTCATATAGCGACATCATTATCTCAAAGCAGGAAACGTGATAAATAACTACATTGTTTTATTGAAGTTGCAGTAATTTCTCACTACTGTTTCTGTTAGTCAAAATTCAATCACAATTTTTATATATATTGGTTTGTTCGTTCTCGTTTAAAGATTTGTCACCTTGGTGAAATGGAAGGTCTAGTCTACCTACGTTGATTGGTCTGGGCACCGGTGTAGAATAGATGCTTTTTATTATATGGAAATAAAGGTGTCAAACGAGCATAGATACCACCTAATGGTAAGTAGATAGACCTACACTATGCTCGCTCATAAATCAAAATGGAGATGGCGTTGCCTCCCATGCGAACTAAGATGGAATGCCACGTTATTCAGTAATAATTATAATTCAAAATGGCGAATATCATAGTCATCGGAAAGTTAATTTAAACTATTTGGGAAATTTGTACCGTACAGACAAACAAGAAAGTTTACATAGCATGGTCATCCAGTTCATAAACATATTACAAGTTTCAAATTTCTAGCTCATCGGGAAGTTAGAATAAAATCTATTATAAAATGTATTACACGGTACACAGAGGTATTGCAACACGTACGGTAGAGGTATTGTCATAGTCGTAAGCAGGTAAATAGAAACGTGGTGGAAAGGTGCGACATTTGGACCAGACAGGGAGGCAGAATTACCGTGCTGTCTAATCTACTCTAATATTACCACACTAATACCGTACATAATACTAAACAGAAAAAGTTTGCGTATTACGTATATTCAGGATTTTTCTTTAACATGTTTAATTTTTATATATTATATTTTCTTTGTTTAAACTTGGCTCGTTCAAGGCTTGTAAGTCGGCCCACACTACACGAATTTGTGCTTGGCTCATGCTCCGCTCGTGCTCAGCTCGTCTAGTGTAGACCACCTATACAAATACTGGTTTCGTTTGAGATTCGAGCCCGTATTTGTAAGCCACTGTGCCACGAAGCTGTCATCTTGTACCGACGTTTCCCCAAAATCCCAAAACTTCTACCAGCGGTATACTCTTCTATTAACTACTAAAAGACTATGGCTAATTTAATTCTGAACAAATATGGTAATCAGTTACTCATAAGATAATCACTGATTTTAGTAAACAATTAAGAACATAGCTAATTGCAAGTGAACAAAAGTCATTTACGATTACCCGACTACAGTATGAAAAAAAATTGATTGTAAATTTGTCCTTCGTATGTTTGCAAAATAGAGTTTAAAGTCGCTTGAATGTCCGTATCGGTCTAATAAACCACATTTAATAATTTCTACATAATAATTACATTGTCACACATTTCTCGTATCTTTATAAAGTTCATTCTCTAAGTGAATAGCCGAATGTCAACACACAGTTAGTTAGTTACAGTACAGTGCGGGTAATTTTGATTTTTCTAGACATCGTAATAAAAACAATGTTGTGTGAAGTTAAGCTATGTATTTTTTTATTATTGAAAGTTGTTATGTGCCAGTGCAAAGGAATATATCATGAAGGAAGCAAAATTACTTTCATACCTGACGCGGAATCCAAGTATTTTGGTTATTCGGTTTTACTGAGTGATATGGGGTGAGTCAAGTTTTGATTAATCACGTGTTTGATGGTGAAAGCAAAAAAAAATAAAAAAAAAATAGTGAGGAAAACATCATAGTTAAGAACTGTTTTGAAATGAATGTTAAAAATTTGAAGCTTATCAGTCACAATCAAACTGAAATATTTTTATTCTAAATTGGCTTTTACAAAGTTTTTTTTTAATCAAAAGTTTTTTATAGGTTAGGGTGACAAACGAGCACACAGTCCACCTAATGATAAGTAGTTGCTTTGGCTCATAGACATCTTCATCTATCCTCGACTACGAATCAAAATGCAGATGCGTTGTCACCCGTGAGGACTGAGATGCAATGTCTTGTTTCCAGTAAAAGTTACGCCATCTGTTCAACAAGTATCTATTGCGGGGATACCTTGTGAAAAGAAGCAGCAAGATATCAATTTAGCCCTATAAAATATAAAGCTAAGTGCATAGGGAACCCAAGCAGACCAGTTCCCACAAGTCGTACCTGTTCACAAGCATTACGCATATGTTCATTAATATCTTGCTCTATACATAATATGATAAGAAGGCGTCTCAGTCTGTCTATCTAATAAGCTAGTAATTCTATTTAAAATTATTTTACAAATAATAATAAAAACATACTCGGAATCATATTTCATTTTTATAAATGTCCTATTGTGCTCGTGGACATATTATAAGTCCCATGTGTATGTATGGCTTATAAGGAAAAAATAATTTGCTTATGGTTTTCCATGCCTAGCATGTCGTAAAAAGCGACATTTTATTAAAATTTGCAGAAAATAATTAAACATTCAAAAAAGGTCGTGTTTTAATTTGCTTTATTTCATAATAACTACAAAACTGAATTTTGTGTGTTCTTTCAAATTGTTTAAACAACTTATAACATTATTGAGTTATTTTACTACATAACCTACAAATCATAAAACAAAAAATAAAAACAAAACTCCAGGTTCTGAAAAATATAACTTTTTGTCATAAGTAGCAAACCTTCAAAATGAGACATTTCAACTTTATTCAAGTTCATCTATTTTATTTTACATTCTCTTATTTAGGTACATCATTTTCAGTCAGGGAATGAGACTCACTATGATCACAACAATATTTAAGCAAAATTAATTGTATATAATAGGAGTTTCAAAAGCGTTGATACGACTAGAAATATTTTCATAATCTACGTAAATAAGTTATGATTAAAACCATAAAATAATGACTTAAAGTTGATAAAAGCTTATGGTATGAAAGTTCGATCAATATATAACCGAAAATAAATTATAACATTTCATAAATATTATGATATACAGAAGAAAGAAATCTGTGTAAAGCAACCTAATTATTTTCGTTATAATAACAACAGACAGATCAAAATACAAGTTGCAATCCCAGCCGCGTAAGCGATTTGTGACACCTACGAGTAAAGTATTTACATAAATGGAAACTTTTTCCATTACGTCGTATGATGGTAACTAACAGAAACAGACAGAAACAGAAACTTTTTAATTCAATGTAGATTATAACAATACTTATTGAAAGTCACTTTTTTAATTTACCACTGGTTCACAAAAAAAACATCTGTCCTGGGAAGAACCAGCAAGAAACCCAGCGGGACTATTTTTTTTCCAAAATAGCTTACAATCATGTTTACAATTAACAACACAAGACAAATTAGAAATAGCTTGGTAGCGATCACCCTTCCCAGGGGTTATCATCCATAAATTTCTTAATATTATAATAACCCTTTTTATACAAACTTAATTTTTGAACTTTGTGTGTGACAAATTTTGTATATTTTCTGGGATTTTGTTGTAAAAGCATATACATCGCCCGAAGAATGAATTACTGACTCGGTGGAGTCGAGTAACTGGTACTACTTTGCTTGTGTCTGCTCCTAGTATTTACAGAATGAATATCACTTATTTTCGCAAAACTACTTTTATTTTTGTGTACGTACATTACATTTTCATAAATGTATTGAGAGGCCAGAGTTAATATATTGATTTCCTTAAGTTTTTGTCTCAGTGACTCTTTTGGTTTTAAATTATATATTGCTCTAATGGCCCTCTTCTGCATCTAATAGAGAGGTACCAGACATTTGTGTTGTGACTTGTATAGATCCTTTCATTATTTTGACTATGTTTCTTAAATAAATCTTAGTAAGACTATATTAGTAATAATAGAGGTTGATTTAAGAGTAAAACTATGAAGATGTGTCACAGCATAAGCATTTAAAAAGTATTTTAGAAAATGCAAGGCTTTAAAATCCCTGTAAATTTACCTTATATAGCGCCAGCAGAACTAGCAACATAAAATATATCGACAAATAGTTAAGACTGTAACGGAAAGAAAAAAAATATCGATAACATCTTATATTTTTTATTTTGTATTAGGTAGAAGTACTAAACAAAACGGGATTAATGTATTAGTTAAAGTTACAACATAATAATAAACACAGTATTAGCAGCTTTATTATAATTATTATCATCAAGAGAGTAATTAAAATAGTTCAAAAAAATCTTGACTCCTCTAGACTCCTAACAATTGTCACGGAGAAAAGCTAAGTTCACACTGATTGAATGAATGATGTGACCTTTATCGTGCGCGTGCATTGTAGCATTGCACCGCATGTCAGGGTCGGGGGTCATGTAATTTAGGGAAAGTGCCAATAAAAAAGACGTGTTGTTGGTGTTAAAACTTTAGAACTAATACAATATAGTGTCGTAGCGGCTACACGACTCTACAGAGGTCCTTCCCAGTCGAGCTGACCCATTCGTGCTACAAACATAATATATCTACAGTGTGTTTTATCACTTGTAAAATTGTTTAAATTGGATTGGTCTTTTTTATGTAAATCAATGTATAGATTTGCCAGAATTTTTCCCAAAAAAAATTTGTTTTACTCTTTACTTTCTTGCTTACTATATACTCTTCGGCTATATTTGGCCTTACCTTAATTTTCAGGCTCATTATCGGTGCACCAAAAGCAGCAAGCAGAGATAACAGAAATATATCACCGGGATTGGTGTTTAACTGTCAGTTAGAAAACTTAGACGTACGGAACTCAACATGTCAGCCTATCGGATTAAACATAGACGGTAATAATTTAAGATAATATTGTTTTCTTGACCATTTTTTTAATAAGGTAACAAACGAGCACACAGTTCATCTAACAATAAGTGTATGCTGTGGGCTATAAATATCCACATCTGTTCTCAATAAAAGATCAAAATACAGATGTATTGTCACCCCTGAGGACTAAGCTGGAATGCCTCATTTCCAGTAAAAGGGACCTCCGGTTCTCTACACTCACCGTACGAAACACATAAACGTATTCTGTGAGAGAGTGGTCTTTCCCCAGTCTAGCTGACCCACTCGTGCTACAAATATAAAATACCTTTAGCAAGGCTCTACTAAAATTAAATCCTGGCAGTAAACTAACAAATATTCGGAATATAAGTCGCTTTAATCCATAAGTAAAGAAGTTGTTTATAACTTGATTACGGCACCATCTTTTGGATCCCTAAAATCATCTACTTGAAAAACAACATTTCAGAAGTTAGACAATCACTAACAGACGCATCAAGCTCGAATAGGGGTAGCACCACGACCTTACAGAATACAGCATCAAGTAGAAGCTCTATTTCTGGGTTTCGTCTGGTGAGTGCAGATTGCAGAAGGCCCAATTCCGCCCCCCCCCCGGCCCATCAACATGGAATTAAATAAGAGAGTACCCTAGGAGGGTTTCTACCCTGATAATGGAGAATCCCATGCTGAGCATCCCCAACCACGACATAAAGCTAAAAAAGAAGTATAACGTCGCCTCCAGGTCCTTTAAAAGAGTTATTGCCAAGGCAATGTAATCAGTCTAATTCCATCCCAAAACGCCGACGTGTAATGCCAAACACGATGGCAGCGTGCAGAACGCAACCTCCGGTATATATATAATATATTGAATATTGGGCAAACAAAGCTAATTTAGATTACCATCCCGCTTGCCAAGCGTCGCAACAATAGCCAAAATCCTTAACCGTGAAAGGGAATTAACTAGCTAAATACTCAACTGTGTAATTAATCGTTGCTCTTTTAGGATATGGAAGCTTTTTCGCAAACGTGCTTATGCCAAAAGATTTCTTCAGAGATGATATGTGGTTTGGTGCAACGATTGCCAGTGTTCCGGATGGAAAGCTATTGGTAAGATATTTAAAGTTAAGTTACAGCCTACACAGTTCCCACCGCTGGACACAATCCTCCTTTCAGTTCTAAGAGGGTTTTAAGGCAAGGAAATGCCCGCCGCGTTGCCCCAATGCGTGGTGGCGAACTCCACATGTCTTCGAAATATTTTTTTCTTATTTCTGAGATATGCAGGTTTCCTCACGATGTTTTACTTCACCGTGAATCACGTGATAGATCAGCACTTAAAATTGCAATCAACAACTTTACTGGTGCCGGCGGGGATTGAACCCGGATTGCTCGCGTGCTGTGAAATTTATAGAGAGCGCTTAGCCCCTGAGCTACAACGGCTATCTATACATTACACATATCTATTTATTACACATTTTTTACGTAGTAGAGCCATGCTGCAGTTATATTAGTAGTATAGTTGTAGCATGAATGGGTCGGCTCGACCGGGTAAGGACCACGCTCTCACAGAATACCAGCGTTAAATAGTAGCTTAATGCTGCTGTATTTCGTATGGTGAGTGTAGAGAACTGGAGATCCTTTTAACTGCAAACGAGGCATTCCATCTTAGTTCTCAAGGGTGATAACGCATCTGCATTTCGATTTGTAATCGAGGATAGATGTAGATGTCTATGGGCCGCAGCAACCACTTACCATCAGGTGGACTGTGTGCTCGTTTGTCACCCTATCCTATAAAAAAAATCTGTCTACCATGGGCTACGAAGGGAAGATATTTATTTTAAACATATTTATTCTGTAGAAATATGAAACTTATGATTTGTATATGCAAAAATTGTTAGGACAAAATTGTATTATAAACCCGAATGGAATTAAATGCATGTTTAGATTTACTCAAAATCGTTTGTTTTTTAATTTACTATACCTGCTTGAATTTTAAAAGAACGTGTGACACAACATCATTATCATCATTAAAACCCATCACAAGCTACTGCTTACCATTCATCTATCCATTCATTATAGCTGATAAAAGTCCCCTACCGAACCTGAATATAGGCCTCCCCCACAGCGTGCCTCATAAGGGGAATATTCTCCACAATTGCCACGTTTAGCATGCGGGTTTACAACCGTAGCTTTTATTTTATTTTGAGTGGTTATCAAGAAGATGCTGCTGCCTATCTCCTTTCTTCTGCTACATTTTTCACTGTCGCCTACTGCGTCACAAACGGGAGGTATTGGAGTTAGTAACTCAAAATTGATAACTAGAATGTATATCTTTAAAAAAATTACTTACATTCGCTAAGTAAGCAGTTCCAGACGCTGTTCCCCATAGATGACATGCAATGTAATACAGTTGCTCCTCGTACTTGAGCAGTGGCTTTGGTTATTTTACGTCTGGTATACATAGATAGGTTCATATATATAGGTCTAAGTTATATTGTCGCCACCTATCGAAAGCCATAAGATCTTACTGGTATATCCAGTAAGATCTAATATATATATAGAGTATAGCCTCTATTTTTTTCTAAACGTTATTTCTATACCAGAATTTTCTCCGATATCATAGACAATTTTTGTTTTTAAACTACCTCAATGAATTCATGGAGACGATTTACAAACATAAATTGCAAAAAACAAAGATCCGGATCCGGAACTACGTAGGACATACAAATACTAGATCCTTGTAGGATTCAAACCTTCGGTCCTTAGTGCTGCAACTTAATGCTAAGCCATTGCACCATGTAGCCGTCAAACACCATGACACGAGTAGAAATGATGAAATGGACTGAAGCCACCATCCACGTGGCATGAGACGAGTTAATAAGACGCATTAAAATTATACACCATCATATATATCACTATTACGTCCCTTTACAACCCCACTACTGAACATAGGCCTCAGAACTTCAAGGTACAATTCTATATTTGAAATTTTCTTGTTTTTTCTTCAGATATGTGCCCCACGATGGACGGTTCCGTACAGAGAAAAGCACCTCTTAGCGAACGGCGCGTGCTATTTAATATCACAAAAGAGGGGGATGACCTTACTGCCTCTGAAGGAAATGAGTGAGTAGTTCAATAACTTCGAAATCATAGGCCATCTTACAGTACGATGTGTAAGATTTTGACTGAAATATTCGATTTTGTTTAATTTTTTCCATGAGATAAAAATAAAAGTTAATTTACAAAGTGGTTCTTAACATGACCTAAAAAATTATTACTTTTACAAAGTTAATTTATGGAATATACATCTTTGGTAGGCGCTCAAATAGTGAATTAGTGATTTTATTTTTTAATTATTTTAATTCGCGATTCTGTCTTTACCTAGTTCTTAAACATATGTATATATTTTTTATAAAATGATTTTCCGCAATAATACATTTCAGTAGATTTACAGAGATGCAAAAAATTAACATGGCTATCGTTAGGACGAAAATATGAGGGTTATTGCCCTCTTATTTGTGTGTTACCGTGTCTAAAAATGCTACATGTGTTAGTGTGCGTGTATGTGTGTGTTGTCTATATAGTATACGAATAATTCTATTCGAGTAATAAAAGATACAACTGAGCAAAAATAGGACGTAACTTTTCTATTTGTAGTTCATCACCTATCTTCAGCCTTTTCCGAGAGTAGAATTTACTTGAAATAACGTAAACTAATGGGAGTATTTTTTATGAAGCTAAGGTTGCAATCGAAACTACATTCCACCTGATGTAAAGTGGCTATTGTTATTCGTGGACACCTACGACTAACTTCAAACAAAGATTCGCTACAGGTTGTCATCTCTGAGGACTAAGATGGAATACTTCACAGCCTGCAATTACACTGGCCATCTATGACCTTCAGACTGGAACATAGCAGTGCAAGCACTATTATTTGGCGCAGAAATAGGCAAGAGGACGGTACATAGTCAAACGAACTTTTAGTCAGAAAAATGACCGACCACTAACCACCAATTATAAAGAGCGGAGAAAGATTCTCGATAAAAACGTAGATATATAAATGTTTAATTACGTGGTAGAGCCATGCTGCTGCTATATTGTGGTTGCAGCATGAATGGGTCGGCTCGGCCGGGGTAGGACAATGCTCTCACTTAATACCAGCGTAAAATAGCAGCCTAATGCTGCTGTGTTTCGTACAGTGATTGTGGAGAACCGGAGACCCTTTTAACCGTAAACGAGGCATTCCATCACAGTCCTCAGGGCTGGTAACGCATCAGTATTTTTATTCTTAATTGAAGATAAATGTAGATGTCTATGGGCCACATCATCCACTTACCACCAGGTGGACTTTGTGCTCATTTGTCACCCTTATTCAAGGTTATCTTTAACCAAGTTGTAGCTATGCCAAACAAAATAATTACTATTAAATAGAACAATAGACTTGTTGATAGAATCAGGCGTTACTTTGCGGAAATCCATTATAATAAAAAATAAAAATATAAATTTCGTTGCAACTTTCCGCTAAACATATAAAATGATGTGTCTTACCTGGATTGAAGCGCACCTCCCGCCCTCCCTCAATTGCATACACTAACTCCGTCACCACTAGACCAAGCAACACTACTCTCAACACCACTATTCCAGGCAAGACACACCATCGACGATAATACGACACGTGTTTCGTCTCTACACGAGGCATCCTCAGGTAATATAGACTCTACGGCGGCTCACCGTTAGCGGTCAGAGTCTATATTACCGGAAAGTTGCAAAGAAATTTATATTTTTATTTTTTATAATAGACTTGTTTTTAAAATTATAATTTAAAAGCATGTTAAGTAAATATTTTTTTTAATTAGACCATCAAGCCTTCAAAACAGACGGTTCTAGAAAAGAATACGGGGAATATGGAACTCATCTCAATTTCTACGCATACGCACAAGCGGGCATATCAATTAAAGTGACAGAAAGTAATTCTGTTATAATGGGTGCCCCTGGACTACTTCAATGGACAGGTAATTAATAGCCTTTGATACTACAAGCAGTACAAGAAAATGGCCAAAAACAATAAGTGGCGATTTGACTATTGAGGCTGAAAAATTCACGTTGATGTAACTTTCTTTTTTTTAATCCTCAACTGCTTCGTGGCACCAGTAGCTTAGCAATGAATTGCAGCGATAAGGACCGCGCGTTTTAATCTTATACGGAGAAAAATGTTCCGCGCGGGATTCGAACCCGTAAAGTTATGCCCTACAAATAAGTGTTCCGGGCCTGGATGTTTATTCTTATGAAATTTATGTATGGTAAATTGCACCAACGATACAGGAGAAAATCGTAGTGTGGAAGTAACGTTCCTTAATAGAAGGAAAGAAAGAAATTAAGACCTTAACAATATCTAAGCCTTATCCTGTAGTGGCGGTACAAGAATCTCCACCACTTTTTAACATCCCGTGGCAGTCGTAAGAGGTGTCAGAGGGAACCAAACCAAAAGATGGGAAGCAGTGTCTTCCTTACAATTAAAAAATAAAGAAAGCTTTGGTTACCAACCCGTTTGCCAAGCCACTATGGCAAACATCCCCCCTATTAGGTTATCTATGGGCGAGCCTATGATGCAGCAATAGACTTTTGATAGGCTTTAACATTAACGGTAAAAACTTGACTATTGAATTATAATACTACGGTCGTAAGTAGGGTTGATAATAATTCAAAATCCAACTTTTAAGGAGCTAGTTTAACAGTGGAATGTTAAATATGAGTTTTCGTCGCAACTGAATTTTCTCTTATACCACCATAGACATGTGATGGTGACTATTATAGACTAGTAAGCCGTGGTAGCTCAGCTAAGCGGTTGACTTAAATTTCTTAGTACACGAACACCTGGTACAAATTCAAAAGGCAAAAATGAAATTATTAATTACAATTTTAAGTTCTATTTTACCACGTTCGCGGCGGTGAAATAAAACATCTTAAAGAAATCTGCATGTCTGAAGAACAGAATATTCCGGAGACATGGGAAGTGCACACTGAAGCAATGCTACGGACTAATTCTCCTTAACTAACCAGATATTGTGCCCAGCTATGGGACGTATATAAGCTGATACTTTAGCTGTTAATATCTTCTCTTCCTCTCTCTCTTTCCCTCTCTCTCTCTCTCTCTCTCTCTCTCTCTCTCTTAAAATTATGTTTAATCACTTATATTCTTTACAGGCGGCATTGTGGATTATCAGTTCCTTTCAGATACACGTTCATTGTTTTTTTCAAAACAACCAACTACAAATCCATATTACACAAAAGAATTAGGTCCAGACGATTACTTTGGTAAGTCTTTTTCATTTTAATTCTTTGACAATCCAAAAAATCAAATTTTACGTACATTTTCGCAATTTCTTTTAATAACTTTTAATTCTTGACGCTACAAGTGCTTTTTAGTATACGCCGTAGTCTTTGGGCATTAGGATATTAGAGTGATGATGACAGAAAAATCCTGATGGTACCAATAACCTTCAGCTCTTAACAATTCTCAATTTTTGTCCCATGTATTTTTTTATAGGAGTAGGGTGACAAACGAGCACACGTAAATGGTTGCTGTGGCCCATAGACATCTACATCTATCCTCGATTAAGAATCAAAATGCAGATGCGTTGTCAACCGTGTCCTGAATGCCTCGTTTCCAGTAAAATGGGCCTCCGGTTCTCTACTCGCACCATATGAAACACAGCTGCGTTAAGCTGCTATTTTACGCTGGTATTCTGTGAGAGCGTGGTCCTGCCCCAGTCGAGCCGACCCTATTTTCCATGTCGGTTGCAGCACTGAACTTATTTTTCAATTCTAAGTAGGATGATATTTTATTTCAAAAACCTCATGAACTGTTCTTTGTAGGGATCAGTGTTCTTTTGTGAAGATAGTGGTGTATAAAATCTGATTTAATTGTCACTGGTAAGCTGGAACTGTTAACAACGTGAGGACGATTTCCAAATATACATTGTATCCCCGATAAGTTAAAAATAGTCGAAACGCGATAAAACCCGTATTTAATCCGTTTTTACCGACTTCAAAAAGGAATTCGACTGCATGTTTTTTTATGTGTGTTATAACATAACTTTTCTCTGGTTTAACCGATTTTGATGATTCTTTTTTATCTGAAAGCTTGTGCTTTTTTGTGGTCCTATATAAATTAAATCAAAATCTGAGGAGTAGTTTTTGAGTTATTTTTTATAATGCGTATTTTTTTGACTTCGAATACATTGATTCGGTCGTATTGAAGTCGGTCGTATAAAACTTTTTAATTACTACTTGTTTCTACTTATGATTATAACTGACGTTAATATAAGAATTTATTATTCTGTATCCCGTTAGCATCAATGAAATCGTTAATTGCAATCGTAAGTGATACTAAACCTATATCTCTGAGAAATAAAATAAATATAAATTAAAAAAATATTTGAAGCTATGCTAAGTCTGCCAACACGTTAAAGGGCAGTGCAGCGGACACTTTTTTTTTTTTTAGAAAGAACGCGATTTATTTTAATTCAATTTTTTCGCACAAAATATAAGTTAGATCCTTCCTGGCATTGGTCTCTATCTGTTTGTAAAGTTTCTTCACAATCAGTTTAGCCTTTTGTTCCGGCATAACAGACAAACAATTTACACATTTGTTATTTATGTCTCAATAGTATCCATAATAACCACTGAGCTTGTTACATGCCAGTTATTGCAATATTACAGAGATGCACTTCAATTTTATTTAAACGCTTAGATTATTCAATTGTCACTTGAGACATTAAGCTTATTACAAAATTTAAAATCGACATAGAGAGCTACTCGTATACAGAGTATATTCGCATGTGTTAACGAAATGTCCCTTCTCTAGGTTACAGCGTGGAGTCAGGAGTTTTTGGTGTTGACAATAAAACTTTATACTTAGCTGGAGCTCCCAGGTCAAAGTTAGGTTACGGACAGGTGAGAAGATAATTTGTATTTAATAAATTGTTAAGTCGGCGTGTGAGATTTAATTACTCCATTTCGCCCCGTTGGGCCCCTGGGTGCGACTATAGTAAATGCCAGAGAGATTTTATGGCTTTCGATAGATGGCAATATAGTCAATTCGTTTACGCCATACGTAAAATAACAAGACCGGCGACGGGGACCAGCGTCAAAGTTGAGTTGTGCTGTGCTCGAGCGACAGAACTGGTCAGCTACAACTGAGACTGCTTATATATAATATATTTAAATAGAACAAATACGTTTGTATAGATAACGCCACCCGATTATTCTTTTAAAATGTATTTCAATTTTTAATATATTGTAATCAGTAAGTTTAGACTTCGCGTGAAGTGACACCCCATTTTGTCCCTCGGGTCTAAAGTAACCAAACCACAACCAAAAAGATCACACTGCTTACGATAGGTTGCAGTATAAATCATATTATATACGTCAGACGTATCGTCATAGCTGAACCCCACCTTGGCAAATCTTCCTTTCTATAGGAGAGATCCATAATGAAGATGGAAAAGATTTTTAGTAGTATCGATTTAAGTTAAAGATGTTAAAATTTTATTTGCTAAAATCCGTGTAATATAATACAACGATGTGTTTTACCTAGTTACGATTATACGACACGTGTTTCGCCTATAAACGAGAAATCTTCAAGTGAAAAGAGGTCGTGCCATCATTGCTTCAAACTCTCATATTTGAATTCTTAAATACAAAGTGTATTATTCACAGGTTTTGATTTTCGAGCCTGCGCTTAGAGAACACGATCCGTTAAAAGTAGTATTGAGTCTTCGTGGGCCGCAGCTCGGTTCCTACTTCGGCGCAAGTCTGTGTTGCATAGATGTCAATAGAGATGGTTACCTAGATCTCTTGGTGGGCGCACCGAACTATGTGACTAAGGAGGGTGAACTACGTTACGACCAAGGCGCTGTTTTCATTTATCTGAATGAAAGGCTGGTTTGTAGTTTATAATAACAGAATTATATAAAAAGACTGATAATAATATTCTTCTGGCTGATTTTTATCTAATAACTTCCGATAGTCGGAATCATTCAACTAGATGCCAGCGATCCTGAACATGATAAAATGCATGCAAACTTTACGCGACAGTAGCCTAATGACAAGGCGCGGACCGTGAACTCAAAAAGGTCGTGGGTTCGAATCCGCCATTCGACTACTGGCGTGAACCACTCGTAACACAAGCAATTTAAGCTTACCACGAGTGGTTAAGGGGAATATTAGTAATGTTTATAGCATTGTTAATTTTCTTTTTTATAAAAAAAAACTTTTCGTAGTGTTGGTGCTCTGCAGTGTGTGAATATGTTCTGGTACGCCTCCTTGATCCTCTCAAAATATTACATTTGTCAAAGATGTCACGTTTAAATGAAAAAATTGCTACAGCGGCATAATAATATCCAATACTCCATATCGTCCCGTGGGTGTCTTAAGAGGCAACGCAGGGATACAAACAAGGAAATGGGCAGAAGCGTCTTTCTGATAACAGCTAAAGAGCACCCCACATAGAAACAATAGAAATCCAGAGTAAAATTGTAGCATAATTCTAATGCGTTTCATATGAGTAAAGAGAAATGGAGACCCTTTTTAATGGTAACAAGGTAATTTATGCTAGTTTTCAGAGGCGACAACGCATCTACATATTAATTATTAATCGCGGGTGCTCGCTTGTTACCCTTATTCTATTAAAAAGACTTCATATATATGAATCCGTTAATCGGAACGGTAATTATTTACAGATTTCGAAAAATATAAAACCAGTAGGAGTAAATTTGGATAGGATAGTTTCCGCGGCAACCCGCCTGCCATCACGGTGTCCAATTTTCCAAGTAATGCTTCCAGCCAGAGTATTCTTGAAAAATCTTTATGTTCAGTAAACCATCAATGGACTTATAGAAATTTGTAAAAAGAAAAGATATATCAAGCCTTGATAAGATAGTTATTTTCCCCGCCAACCAGCCTGCCACGCGTGGTGTCCAATCTTCCAAGTATTGGAAACATTATTTGGCAGCTGGCTTATCCCTAGAAAATCTTTAACTCCAACGATGGAAGTACAGAAACTTCTAAAAAAGAAGACATAAAAAAGTTTTTCGTTTTTCTGCTAACAACTTAAATGAGAAATAAAACTAAGGGTCTTACTTTTTACACTTTTGCTAATTTCGTTTAGGGTAAATTTTTATATCTCCAGATAAAAGTTATTTATAAAATAAAACAGGCCTGACTAAATGTAAGCGAGGAACAATTGAACTATTTTTCTCCTACAACTGTAATTTTACTACGTTTTTATTATGTCACTTGCTTGTTTGTCTCTCTGTCTATGTGTCTATCGTTCCGGGTGGAATTTTGTAACTCAAATTTCGAGCACTTCCCGATTAGCTAAATACTTGAAATTTCAGACAAAGCTCAGAATCGAATGACGATATAATTATTAAAAATCAATTAAAATTTTAAAAGCTATATAGTTTAGATTTTTGATATTTAGTTTGTTTGGGTGGTACTAAGTATTACCTGAGAATTGTTAAATCGACCCTTAGCCTTCTATATATTTAACCGAGTCCCATCATTCACAATCATATCTCGAATTCAAACTTCATATTTGTGTTTTTTCTTTCACAGGGCAATAACTTCACATTACGGTTTGCAGGCTTTGTGTCAGGTTCTAATATGAATGGAGCAAGATTTGGGAGTGCTATCGCAGATTTAAATGATGTAGATGGAGACGGTTACAGAGGTAATATTTAAGGTTACACAAATTGTGATGTTACTTAAAATTAAAGGTATTCTTCTGAAAGCTTTGCCTTTAGACTTGTTTCAATTACTAGAATATATATGATATTTAAATTACCTTTTTGAACTTCAAAAAATAAATTTACTAACTACGAATAGACCTTTTCGTTTAGGTACTAACGCCTTCCTTCTGGAACCCGTGCATTCTGGTCTCTCGCAAAGGCTGTCCAGGGGAATTTCTGTCAGCCATCTCTTCCATCTCTGCACAGGGAGGATGACCCACTGGCCCATACCGCAAAGGAGAAAGCCGATCTGCTAGGCTCTTTCTTTGCGTCCAACTCGACTCTCGATGACGGGGGGAGTACACCGCCGATCATCCCGCGGTTTGAGTGATCCATGCCGGAAGTGCAGTTCACACAGCGCTCGGTTCACAAAGCACCCCTCTCCCTGGACATCCACAAGTTGAGTGGGCCTGATGGAATCCCCCCAATTGTGCTGGGACGTGTGCTCCAGAGTTGGCACCGGTTTTAACGCGTCTTTTTCGGTACTCCTACTCCTTAGGCGTAGTCCCAAAATCACGGAAGACGGCTTTCGTCCACCCGATCCCTAAAAAAGGCGACCGCTCAGACCCATCCAACTACCGGCCTATCGCCATCACCTCCTTGTTCTCCAAAACAATGGAGTATATTGTTAACTGCCAGCTCATGAGGTACCTTGAGGATCACCAACTGATTAGTGATTGCCAATACGGTTTTCGCCGTGGTCGGTCAGCTGGTGATCTTCTGGTCTACTTAACTCACTGATGGGCGGAGGCAGTAGAGTCCAAGGGGGAGGCATTGGCCGTTAGTTTGGACATTGCAAAGGCCTTCGATCGGGTTTGGCACAAAGCGCTTCTTACGAAGCTCCCTTCCTTTGGGCGTCTCGAGAAATTGTGCGATTGGATCACCAGCTTTCTTGCAGATCGGAGCATCAAGGTCGTTGTAGACGGTGCAAGCTCCCATTACAAGCCTATTAATGCTGGTGTTCCACAAGGCTGCGTGCTATCGCCAAAGCTGTTTCTTCTACATATTAATGATATGTTGCAAACCCGTAACATCCATTGCTATGCACATGACAGCACTGGTGATGCTCTTTACACCGGCCGTGCCAATATTTCTCGGGAAAACGTCTCTGAGTACCGGGACAAACTTGTGTCTGTAGTCGAGTCTTTGCTGAACAGAGTCTCGGATTGGGGACGACTAAATCTAGTCCAGTTTAATCCTCAGAAGACACAAGTTTACGCGTTAACCGCTAAAAAGAACCTCTTTGTCGTATCTCCTCAGTTTCAAGGCACTCCCCTTGTTGCCTCATCCAGTATCGGAATCCTCGGCGTCGACATATCGAGTGACGTGCAGTTTCGTGGTCACTTGGAAGAGAAGGCCAAATTGGCTTCTAAAAAGCTTGGCGTGCTCAGCAGAGCGGGACAGTATTTCATGCCGGCACACCGCCTGCAACTTTACAAGGTGCTGGTTCGGCCGAACATGGAATACTGTTCCCATCTCTGGGTTGGGGCTCCCCATTACCAGCTCCTTCCACTTGACCGCATCCAGCGCAGAGCGGCTCGAATCGTCGACGACCGAGTGCTTTCCGATCGGCTCGATTCACTTACGCTGCGAAGAGATGTTGCATCTCTTTGCATTTTCTTTGGCATATACCATGGGGAGTGTTCTGAGAAATCGTTCGGATTAATCCCAGCCGCCAAATTTCGTGAACGCACTACGCGGCAAACGTCCCGGTACCATTCGCACCATCTAGATGCTTGGCGGTCCACCACTGTAAGTTTCAAAAGGAGTTTTCTTCCGCGTACAACCTCTCTTTGGAATAGTTTACCACCGGTGATTTTTCCGGACAGATACGACCTGGGGACCTTCAAAAAAAGAGCTTACTCCTTTCTAAAGGGCCGGCAACGCACCTGCAATTCCCCTGGTGTTGCGGTTGATCATGGGTGGCGGTAGTCACTTAACATCAGGTGAGCCGCATGCTCGTTTGCCCCCTCTTCTATAAAAAAAATCGAGAAGTTCGTATCGGTCCGGAAAAATCGCCGGTGGTAAACTATTCCACAGAGAGGTCGTACGTGGAAGAAAACTCCTTCTGAAATGTACAGTGAGTGTATTTGTTCCCTGTGTTGCCTTTACAGCACACACGGAATGATATGGGTTGTTGGATATTTTTACACTGCTACTATACCGTGTTTTACATAATAAATATTGTATATTTGTATATTTTCATTTCATAAGTTAATATTATAAGTAATTATATCATATTATATGTAAACTAAATAAATACAAGCTTATATTCAGACATGTTATTTTCTTAGATGTAGCTATTGGCGCACCGTGGGAGAATGAAGGACGTGGTGCTGTGTATTTATATAGAGGAGCTGAAAAAGGTCTCCACAACCATTATGCACAGAAGATTGTAGCAGAAAATGCACTAAGTTTTGGAATGTCCATATCAAAAGGTTTTGATGTGGATAGCAATAACTGCAGTGGTAAGGAAACTTTTGGTACGCGTTTATTCTACCGTCATTGGAAACTTGGTCACGTTAGAAAAATAGTATGAGGGTAGAAGCCAATAAAGAGTTATAAAGAAGCTTTTTTTAAAATGAAGTGACAAAAGAACTAGTCCAAATAACAGTAACTGCAGTCCAGGAAACCTGCAACCAATTTTAAACAATTTTAAACTCTGAGAACTAAGATGAAATGCCTCATATCCTATAATGACTCTCTATATCATTCAGATTGGAACAGAGCAGCACAATCACTGCTATTTCGCGGCAGAAATATGTAATACGATATTACCTACCCGACGGACCCAGGCACTTTTCAGGGATTTTCAGTTCATGTTTCAATGTCAAATACTAATAAAATTACTATTACCTGTCCTTTTAAAAGGCTACAGCTGAACATAGATGAAATATAGGCTCCCTATGATATATCAGCTGTGGATCTAGGGTTGAACATATAATAATAATAATATAATTAATAATAATTTATTTTATTTCGATAACATGTTGTCTACATTTACAGATAGTGATTGAAGACACCTTTTAAGCAAAAATCTTGCCTGTATTAGGTGCCTTCGCTCTTCCATAGCTACTAGTTAACATAAAATTTATTATCTATAACAGTATTAGGGGTACATAAAAATATGAAAAATAAGAATTGTGTGTGTGTGTGTGTGTGTATGTGTGTGTGTGTGTGTGTGTGTGTGTGTGTGTGTGTGTGTGTGTGTGTGTGTGTGTGTGTATGTGTTAAGTTATGCCGTGTGTCTAAGAATAATTTCTGTTTCCTCGTAATCTAGAGGTTTTAAATAGTTGGTAACTATTTTTTTGCATTCGTGTAGTGTTTTATTATATATGTCTACGATTTTATTTACTTTATTATATAGATAGGCCGAACGACTGTTGAGTTGATTTTTAGCAAAGGCGGTTCTAGTTTTTGTAAGTGGAATAACATTTTTTTTCTTCTAGCTGTAAAATTGTTTGAGACATAAGGTGTAGTTTTATGTCTTTTTAATATAACGCTGAGAATGTACAGCTTTCTTACAGATAAGACTTTACAAACAGCGTATAGAGTGTGCGTTGGAAATCTTCTACGTTTAAAGAGCATCATTTTCAGTAAAGCACGTTGCGCACGTTCCACCTCAATCATTTTTGTTTTAACCGCTCCTCCCCAAATGGAAATGCAATAAGTTAGGATTGATTGCGCAAGTGAGGTGTAGATGTCTTTGAAAATATTCCTTCTGGCGCTATGATCAACCCCCCACCCCCCAGGCACTACATGTCTCAAGGTCTTGAATATCCAGATCAGTTTTCTTAATCTGGTAGAGACTAGCTCAATGTGTGAATGCCAAGAGAGCCGCTGGTCTATCACAACCCCAGGTATTTTGTTTTATCCAATCTGTCTATAGCCGGACAATCACAATTAGTGGGTTCAGTATCAGGATTGCAAGAGTGAATTAATAAATTGTAGTTAGTGTCAGGTTGTAAATTATTTTGAATACTGTAACAGATGTAATTAGTTTTGGCTGTATTCAGGGTCAACAGATTATTTTTTTAGCCAGTAGTTAATCAAGTGCAGGCCAGATTCAGCATTATTCTTCACATCAGCCCAGTTTTTTCCGGAAAAAACGACTGCAGTATCATCGGCGTAGGAAAAGATGCGCGCATGGTCAATTTTTAGATTACAGAGGTCATTAATATATATAAGAAAAAGCGTTGGTCCTAACACACTTCCCTGTGGTACACCATAAGATACAGCAACGTCTTCACTGATGTAATGACCCAATTTCACTCTTTGCATTCTATCAGAGAGGTAACTCTTAAAGAGAGATAGCGCAACATCTCTGATACCTAATTGTTCTAGTTTTTGGACAAGAATAGGGATATAAACAGTATCAAACGCTTTCCTGAGGTCCAAAAAAACAGTCAGGCACTTGATCCCTTTATCCAACGTCTCAGTAACTAGTTGGCTAAGTGCAGCTATTGCATCTTCAGTTGATCTGCCCTGTCTGAAACCAAACTGTGACGTCGATAGAAGCCGAAATTTTTCTAAGTAATTTAATAATCTAAAATTCAAAAGTCTTTCAAGTATCTTCGAAATAGCTGGCAGTACCGAAATTGGTCTATAATTACCCACGTCATCCCTGTCCCCACTCTTGTATACAGGAGTGACTACTGACTTTTTTAGCGGGGCTGGAAAAACACCCTGCTCAAAACATAAGTTAGCTAAGTGAGTAACTATAGGTACAATTTCGTTTTTTGCAAGTTTTAAGAACGTGATGAGAATTGTACCCACCCAGGAGCGCCATCTGATCTCAAGTTCATGAGTGTTCTTTCGACTTCTTTCATATCAGTTTGTAGCAAAACAAAGGAGTTGCATGTAGCAACAGCATTTCTAGTTCCGAAAATTGGATTAGAATTGCCACGAGAACTAATATTTTCGGCAAGATGCTCTCCTATTTTCGCAAAAACATAGAGGGGATATTTACCATAGTTATCATGCTTGACAACAGAGTTGCCAACCCTAGTTAATTTTAGTTTTTACTAAGCAAACGCTTCTGGCAATTTTCAAAGATTGTTTTAGAAATAGTGAATTTTCTTACACCGTCGCTACATGGTTCAAATAAAATTATATACAAATAAAGTAAATAAAATAAATTTATTATATATATTCCCTTTCAGATTTGGCGATCGGTGCAATAAATAGCGGTACAGCGTATTTATATCGATGTGTTCCAACAATGGAAGTGCACGCTGTGATAAAAGTTCCAGATGCCATGTACTTACCCCTTAATGCTACAAATTTTACCGCCTTATTCTGTGTCGGAGCTCCGGAACAACTGAAATGGCCACACGTCAAAATATGTAATCATTTCTTAATACGTTTAACAAAAACCGAGATCACCCTGTTTCTTTTTGTTAATCTGAAGTGACAAAGGATCGTATCAGTATCAGTGGATAGAGAGTAGCTACTGCAATTCAATTTTATCTTAGATGGAATGCCTCATGGTCTGTAATTATGATGGCTCACAATACCCTTCAGACTGGAACAAAACAGTAACGCAAATACTGTTATTTAGTGGCAGAAATGACAGAGTGTGGTACTTACACAGACGGATGGCTAGGCGAAGATACTTCTCTGTTCTACGTAGATGATAAACATAAGTGTTGTATGCTGCTTAACTTGTTTTCATACGATGATTTCGTAAAAATGCTTTATTTCAATATTGAGTAAGATTACTAATAACAATTTCAATATTAAAGTTAAAGTTTCAGCACATATAAATTCCACTGCTTGGCACGGGGCTTCTCTCATTTCTGAAAGGTTTTGAGGGCAAGAAAATGTTCACCGCGCTGCTTGTTTCCGCTGTCTTCGAAATATTGTTTTTTTTTCATTTCCGGTTTCTGCACCACTGAGCGCGTGAAGAAAAACATCGCGATAAAACCTGCATGTCTGAGAAAATTTAATTTGCCTATTCTGAAACCCCCTCTGAACTGAAATTAATAGTTCATGGTTCAATAGAGGATAGTTCAACTATTTTTTTCGTAACTTACAAAAAAACTTAAAATTGTTCTTTTGTAAATTATATATTTTTTTTTTCAAATTACATTAAATATCAAAAACTAAAATTAAATAAATTAAATGTATTTATTGTTTCAAAATAAGAAAGTAAGATTTCGTTATTAAATTGTAACTTTTTTTCAAAACTACTATTTTTTCGACATGAGGTTGTTACGACTGAAGAAAAACGACAAAAGAAACTTCGCAAGTATTCTCTTTTTGTCTTACTTCGACAAATAAAGAGTTTCGTTTCATTTCATATAATCTATTCGGTATCGCAAAGAGAAAGAAAGTTTGGATGCAACAAAACATTCATTTTTCTATCTACCTTATTTTCTTAATAGTTTTCACTAAGTGGTCAATTGCCTCAAAAATTCACCTCTCATAATTATATTTACATATTATTTATACTAAAAGTATAAATAATAATATTATTATAGGCCTCCCTTGTTCCAGCAGTGGACTTGTTAAGAGCTGTAATGATAAATGGCTAAAAGTTCTTTCTCATTCCTTGCATCTCTTAACTAATAATAATATTTTATCAGAATAACTTTATTACTTAATTTATTTATGTTATTACAAACATTTGAATACATCGGAGGCACCTTTGTGAAAAACTCATTAAACAAGTTACAGCAAAAAAAATAATACAATGAATTCACTTTAGTTTAGCGACGTCATTCTCTGCCTACTTACGGCCAAAAAAAAATCCAAAATAATAAAGCCTATATAATAGCCATCTTAACAATTAAACGTTAAAGAGGAAAGTAGGTTTAGATATGGACTATTCTTACTGAACCAATAGATATTGGCATTAATGATAATAAATTACAAATAGAAACAACAATGAAAGGAACTAAATTGATCTGCTTTTTTATGTATAGCCCTACAAGCGAAGATTACAGTGGATCCGAACGGCGGCAGGGCCTGGATATCAGGAGACGCGGAGTATCAGGTATCCATCAAACCTGGCAGTAACGCATGCGAGGAACAAATCGTAAAAGTTATGGTAAGAATTCGCATTACATAGTTATATAGTATTACACCCATTTTTGAGACTGTGAATCTGCATCTAGGTTTCATACACAAAATAAGATATGCTTCATATTAGATGTTCAAGAGAAGATGAAGTACTGTTCATCTTCTCTTTTCGTACCATTACGCATAAAACCACTACTGGCTATTTGTCATTCGGTTTTAGAAAAGTTGTCAACATAGGTGTGTTCTAAAGTTCTAAATCGATGTGATTTGGTTTTAGTATTTTCAAATGAATAAACTTCAATTTGTCGATCGCCAGATTCTCGTTCGTCAGTTGGCAATAGAAAGAGTTAGCCCATTTTTACCACGTTTAAGTGAGTTGAATATGTTATGTGAGTGCTTACAAGTCCATTGTGGACATGGGCCTCTGTCATCGTAACGAGTCTTTGCCTTGATTGTCAAGCTTAGCACCGTATTGACGATCCCATTACCATCTCAGTCTCTAGTCTCTAGTCGTCTTGTACCCTAAGCAGTATTGTTTATCATCAATCTGGACCTAACATGTATGACTAGATTACAATTGTTCTGACGTTGACTTAGAGGCACCGCATACCGCGGATTTTTCATTGGGCGCGAGTAGATTCAGCTTTTTAATAAGTAGTAAGTATAAAAATTATAACAATTAGTTATCTTCAAGTTAAATCAGTTTAATGGGCTACATGATTCCCTTCAAACTGAATTGTTGGTCAACGATCAGCCAACTGCTAAATCAGTATAGTGCACTCGAACGCGCGCATTTACGCTGATTGTTTAGTCGGCCAACTCTAAAAAAATTGTTTTGGATAATTTTAATATTGGTAATGCATTGTGTAAAAGTTTGCCTTGCAATAAACTGTCAATCTATATAGAATACACCCGCTACCCTGTTTCTCTTGTTGATTCGTCTCCTTCGTTGTATAATAGTGGAGTAATAATAATAAAATTTCTGAACAGTATTTTAGGTTTCATTACGCGATTACTCTCTTCAAGAGTTGCTTACTAACTACAATATGTGCGCAATAAAAGCCCGAACCGCCTAAAGTCTCACCCGATAGAAAGTATGCAGTGTGCGGTATCTTTAAACGCAAGCACTGATAGGAGACGGCAACCCAACACGACAGGAGAAAAATCAGATGCAAAACTAAAAGCTTTATGTGTTTTTCGAGGAAACACCGCCAATTTCCTAACTCCGGGCTGTTAAGGAATAAGTTATTGAGTTTTTCTGTAAAGAAACTTATTTTTGACTTGATCCAGGATTTGAACCCAGGATCTCATGATCAGCATCGGTAACCGGTAAGCGAATAAAACATTGAGTTTTATGATAGTTATAATGATTGTGGCAAAAGTCTGTCGAAAACGCAAAACTTGTACCCTTATGATGTAATAATTACTTAATATTGTTTATTACACACGGTTTGTGTTTACTTCTGAATAATTTATAATTTTTTTGAAACTTAAACGAAATACCTTCTTAAATATAATAAAGTCTTGTTTTCCATCAATCATACATCACAACCACTAGTCTTATACCGTCAGTAATTTCTGTTAAGAGGGTAATGTTTTAATTTAGTTAGTCCTCAGGGATAACCGGTGGTGAATTATCCTAATGGCAAACTAGGCACGTGTCAAGGGGCGCAAGGTCAAAAAGGAGCTCGCATTCAAATTTATGGGTGAAACAAGAACGTTTACTTGATTACTAGCATAAACTCCAATTTCTCCACGTTCATCTTCAATCAACTTTGCCACTGTGATGTTAAGAAGAACGTTTTGTCCATATCGTTTAGTTCCATCGGATGTGACCGGAAACAAGCTCGTTTATTGCCCTTATTTTACAAAATCAGATTTTTAAAAGATATATAATATTATTGCAAAAAAAGCATGATGCTTGCTTTGCTCTTTACAGCCTACAGCAGACTTGTCAAAACCAATCACCTTAATATTTGATTTAGAGCCGAAGATGCTTTTAGAAGGTAAGTTTAATATTTCTCTTTCTTTAATACTTCTTAATCTACCCGAAGATTTAGTTCAATTATTGCAATTATTTCGATACGCAAGCTTCTGACATTCACCACCACACACCGACTGGTGACAAAACATGCTACGAGTGCAATAGAGACACGCCAACCCACCTGAATAACGTAGTGAGTACACAATGGCATAGACAGCTCTTCTAGGTAAGCATGTTAAATAGCCTGTTATTGGAAAGATATACGTGGACTTCAACATGTTGTAAATGAGTAAAATAACATACGTTAATAAAATAAAAATAGAATTTGGAAAAAATTAAATTTAAAAGACGATATTCATTAATAACTTTAAACGGTGTTAAGTTCAATAATATAAAATGAAGTTCAATAAGTAATATACAATAATCAATATTGAATAAAAATCATCAATTTCATTTCATAACAAAAATCGATAGGGATCCTCTTTAGAATATATGGACTCTTATTTCTAAATCTATTTTATATCTCAATTTGTTGCATACATTTCTATTAAGCGAGAAGACTCACCGAAGCACCGACCAACGGACGGCAGTCCATATATTTATCCATTTCCATTTTTTGTTATGTAATCTAAAGTGATCAGTTAGAAAATAAACTAATCTCGTAATTCAATGTCTGCAGTTATTGTAACATTAATAATAATAGGGATTTGATGTCTAGCTAAAAGTATAAAAACGATTTTATGTAGCGAAATTGCGATATGGCCAAATATCGAGAGAAGAGCACTCCCAATGCGTTGTGAGGCATGTAATTCTAACATAGGATCTTATAAAATTATTCCATAGAAAAATATGTGGGTAAAGACATAAACGCAATTTAAGAACTGCCATTAAAACGATTTTGAATTTTTTATGCATTTTTTAAATAATTGACTTTTCTTCGAAATACAAATTGATAAATTTTAATTACACAACTGAAATTCAATTGCAGATGGCTCAGCAAACTTTTTGCACAATGAAGCACGACTGTCGGAGAGCTCACGCTTGCACTCGTCCTTTGATATTCAACTCAACAGGGACTGTGGAGAGGATCTTATTTGCAAGCCGTTGCTAGAAATAGATTTGAAAGCTTTAACCAGGTAAGATTATCAAAAAGATTATAATCCTGAAACGATATGCATTATCTTTTTTATTGCAGAATTTTAAACGATTGTTAGAAATGTTTATATAACGCGTTCAGAATAATTTGGTTAAGATTATTTGGTGGACTAGTGATACTAGGGACTAATTAATATTGAATCTTTTTGACGGAGTGAAATTTATGAAATTCGTGTTTGGGTGGCTGTATTTACTTGTTAATAGAGAGTTTATTTTGCTTTCACTATCATGCTGATGCTTGCCAGCCGATAGACGTCGCTCGGTTCATATCATAGCTTGGTTGTTACGAAGGATTGGCCATACGAGCTATGCGGATCAATGGTCAAAGCACCGAACATCTCGCACCTTAGACAATACTTCCTATCGCCCATCTGAGGACCTAATATTTGGTATAAATACGTGATGGTTCGAGATTTGCCATTACTGGAATGCTAGAAGCCTACACGTGGTGACCCTACGCATTGCCTTACACGTAGCCAGCATACAGTGTAAATAACCTCGATGACAGCCAGCTGACATAGCTGTCCAATAGAAGTTGGCATCCAGCACGTACATCGGCAACGCTATTAGTATCATTCCTATTAAATCAAGGCTATTGATTATAAAGTACCTGAGCAACTGAGCTTTGGAGCTGAGCGCCTCGCAGATGAAAACTATCGAGATAAGATTAAGTAGTTAGTAGATGATATAATATAAAATTATACAAGAATTGCTCACTAAAATATAGGATTTTTCTATGAATGTAATTTAAAGTAATGTTATAATTTCCTCATAATAATTTCTTATACAGTTGTTTCATTTTGTTGTCAACCCAAGATAAAGCTGCTTTATGCTAATTTTATTGTATGCAACAATTACATCAAAGTAAAAATAATAAATCAACAACTGTTAAATGGATTTCATTAAACTACAATATGCAATTAATTTTCAGTCCATATGTTCCGGGATCTGAAAGCAGACTGGGTGTACAAGTGACTGTGTTAAATAAAGATGAACCAGCGTATGGTGCTAAAGTGTTTCTAACACTTCCATCTTCACCTAAAAGATTACCAAGTGCCTGTTCTTTAGAAGAGCTGAACGTTACTTGTGAAGTGCCAGCTCCTCTTCATAGAAATGAATCTGTGTCTTGGGAAATAGAATTAGAATTAGCGGAAAAAACTTCAGTTCCTCATAAATTGATAATTAAAGCAAATCTAGAAGATCCGCTACACAAAAAGAATGACAGTGACAAAATTACAAAAGAGCTTGCTATTATAATAAAGCCAGAAGCTCTTTTTAATGTCAGCGGGTATGTATTCCAAACTATTCAATAAATTTTCTGTACAGTTAAAGCTAGCCCTAAGCAATATTTTGCATAAGGACGCTCGCATAATTCTACAAGGCTACCTAGCCTGTCCCTTTTGCAATTCCCCAATTTTGATGATGGACGAAGTATTAGGACTGTTGATATTTTTTAAAATATGGGATATAGGAGTTTGGTATATCGAAAAAAATATCGATATATCGGCTTTATTTAGAAAAAAAACAATCGTAAATCAGCTCAAAAATGATTTACCCAGTTTATAATTTTGTGTATTTATTAAACAAATTAAATTATAAACGTATGAAAATGTTAGGTTATATTTCTTAGTAAATATTGTTTAATTTAAAATAAAAGAAGTACGTGTGCAAATATTTTTCAGTAAGAGATTTTAAAAAATCTTCTGCACCATAAATTTTCTTAACGATTTTCTAACTACGATTATTGGGAACTAAAATATTGATTGTAGAAGCAATTCGTTCAGATACTACAGATGTAGCCGAAAAAATATTTAACAGCTATTTGTGGTAGAACGAGAGTAAAATGTCTACTATCGACCCAATTTTTTGTTCATTTGATGACCTTGAGATATTTGGCTGATCTTAATAATGCTTTAAGTAAGCAGACATTGTACGAACACTTCTGTCAAAAACTTCATTGGCATAAAACCTATAATTTAATAAATATATTGACTGTTGACATCTATAGTTTAATATCAAACTATCGATATATCGTCTAAAAAATATTAGTAGTAAATATCGATATTTCGATATATCGATATTTTATCAACAACCCTAGGAAGGATATAATTATCAGAACGACCGCGTACGAATTACGAAACTTCATATTGTGGTACGAGGCTCCTCAATGTATTGCTGCTGTTGTCAAACGCTTGGTTGGGCAAGTATACGACTCGGTGTTTTTTATACCATCTATCAGCAATAATAAATTGCAACCCGCAATTACTAACGAATTTATGAACCCTGCGTTTTATTAACTAGCGCCGAACACTAATGACATGTATTGATTGAAAAGAAGCTTTTTTCAAAATTGTGGATAAGTATCACATCATGTGACATCCTACGAGATACCTATGAGACAAGGCCTGTGTCAAAAAGCTTCTATTCAATCAATAGATGTCATTAGTGTTCGATGCTAGTTGATAAAACGCAGGATTCATAAACTCAAGCTAGTGTCGTAACAGGAGACAGTGTATATATATATATATATATATATATATATATATATATATATATATATATATATATATATATATATATATATATATATTGTTATTAATTACAAGTATTTTTGGCATACCATAATACCAAAAATACTGTACTCACTCCAGTGCCCTAGGATGAGACAAACAAATTTTTTATCAGATAGTTTTTCTACGGCTCAACTACATGGCAAATACGCTACTCTGGAAGTTTCGAATGGTTTGGAAGTATCGACAAAGGCCGTTGTTCCACATCTATTCCTTATTATTATTTTATGAACTTACTTATAATCGTTCATTATTTCTTATTAACTTATTATATATACCTGTCACTATCTATTGTCGTACAGTGAAGAGAGACTTAAGCGTTTCCCAAATTGATGTTGATTTTTATTGAAAGGCAGTTGAATGTCTGTTCATGAAACAGACTTAAATTACATAAATTTTTTTTATAAGTTTTACTGAATTACACTTTAAACAGGACAGCACTGCCAAATAGGACCATCACGATCACTAGAGATGAATTATCCAGCTCCGGAAATATAGCATTCGTACATTATTTCGAGGTTAGTTTTTTTTTCTATTTAGGCAGTATTTCAATACAATGCAATTAACCGATTTCCGTGTGGTAGCGATATAACGAAATCCATCCCTTCGTTTCATTGCTCAGGCGTCGTAAGAGGCGACTTTTTATAGAATATGGGTGACAAACGAGCACACAGTCCACCTGATGTTAAGTGGATGCTGTGGCCCATAGACATTTACATTTATCTCGATTAAGAATCTAAACGCAGATTCGTTGTCACTCCTGAGGACTGAGATGAAATGCCTCGTTTCCAGTAAAAACGGGTCCTAGGATTTTTACTACACTCAGAGTCTACAAACACAGAAGTATTAAGCTTTTATTTTACGCTGTTATTCTGTGAGACCGTGATCCATCCCTTGTCGAGCCGACTCATTGGTGCTACAAACATAATATAGCTGCAGTGTGGTAGAGCCTACCACGTATAAACTAAAGACTGTGGGAAATTTCAGAAAATTCCAATTGCTTACGATAGCGGTGTGCAATTTCATTTACGCAGAAGTTAAATACCCAGATCGAAAAAGGATAGGAACGTTAAAGATGCGAGCAGTCTGTTACTGCTATCGTCGTCAATACGTCTGCTAAGCGTGACAATTAAAGCGAATCCTGCTTATAACGGGTCAACGTTCTATGTCCAATAATAGGCAAAGACCTCTCCCTTTACTTTACCTCTGATCAAGATGTTAGTACGAGTTTCAACTTGCTAAATCATTAGCACGTATCAATAACATGAAAAGACACTGTTTGCTGCACATTTATCAGTTCTGCGTTCAATATTTACGGAGGTTTCAACATTCGTTTTAAGCTTTGGAGATTTTTTTAAATTACAAGTGTAAATATTTTGACTGGAGGTTTTTGGGTGTCTGTCGTCATGCATACTGTTTTTACTTATGGCTTTTTATTTTATAGTTTTTACCTTTTAAAAGAACACATAGTCCACCCAATGGTTAGTTGAAACTACGGTTTTTAAACATCTGCATTTACCCTCGCTTTAGAATCAAAATGCAAATGCGTTGTCAGTTATGACCCCTGACGATTTAGATGGAAAGCCTTATTTCCATTTAATGTATCCGCTTCTCCATACTCACTATATGAAACCCAGCAGCTTTAAGCCGCTATTTTACGCTGGTATTTTACGACAGCGTGGTCCTATCCGAGCCAACCAATTCCTGTTACAACTTTAATATCGCCGCAGCACGGATCTACCACGTACATATTGTTCAAAATTGATTTAAATATCATGTACGAGTTATGTTGTGGGGAAATAGGGTCGATGTGCAGGAGATATATTACTAGTTAACTATAGTCAACCAAATTTAAGAATTACTTTTTGTCATTTCACATTAATCTAAATTTGAAACAAATTTAAATTTGAATCTTTCAAAGAAAGCAAAATATTAAAAAATAACCGTATTCAAAAAAAAAATCAAAAAAATAAAAGTTTTCAAAAAATTGAATCATAATTTTTAATGTATTATTTTTTAACTAAATTTTTAACGCGAATCATGAATAAAACAAGTTTTTTTTTACTTTGTCAACGTAAATTTATGTAGGCAAAAACACTCATATAATCTCCCGCCATTTCGGGGGCTTACTGTGTGTAATTTTGTGATTTTATGTTTATCTTCTTATTTTGTGACTTGGCTTTAACTTTTTGGACTCTTTCTTCTATATTCGTTGAATCATGTGCCCATGTCACAAATAATGATTGGGAAAAAGTGGTAGAAAAATCAAAAAAATTGATTATGGATGACGATGATGATGAAAGAGACATTAATTTTGACTGCATTATTAAAAATCAAATAATTAATCTAAACAACGACAACTCAACTAGTTGTACTGAAAGTCATTGAATAAATATATTTTTAATCTAGTTTCAATCTTAAATTTTTATAACTTTGCTTCTAGAAATAATCAGTAACAACAAATATGAAGAAACCGATAAATCTTATGTTTTAAATTATCCATTTTTAATTTATTTTGATATTATTCAAACCAAACTGTTTGGGACGGCAGGGACACGTCCAGTGCCCGCACAGTCGCCCTGGGAAAATCTCCCACTTGAGTGACGTACGCTCCTTACTAATCGCTGGTGACACACGTCCCACGCACTCCCGAATAAATGTATTAGTACGACCCTACTAGGACCTCGAGAGAGAGGCGAGTAGTTGGGAGGAGGCAAAATTAAAACACTTTTTCTGGGTAGCTTCTTGTTCCGCAGGTTTCGGCTTCCCTTTTTTCCCTTGTTGTTGCCTCTTCGACGGCTGTGCTGCGACTGCCCTTGAGCTTAGTGTTGTCATCTGCGATAACTGCTTAGGTCCTGCAGGTCTCGGGCCTCGGGGTGTGCCCCCATTACCCGGATTATCCTCGCGGCCCACTACTATGAGCCGGTCCTGGGAGCCTTATTTAGGCGTTGTTAGACATTTTTCGGATTTAGTCCGTAGTTGGTAAAATTTTTCGTAGTCGGTTAAGACTACGTAAAAAGGAGGTTATCTTGAGGTATCAAAGTTGGCCTATCAGCGGCATTGTGGGTTGTTACTCAACTCTCTAATCTATATAGAGAGGAGTTCTCTTGGATAGGGTCGCCCGTCCGGTGGACAAGTGTGTAGCGGCGCTAGATTGTTAAGATGTGTGTGTGTGGCCCGTTGTCTGCGCGGTCGAACAGGCCGCGTGCCAACCGGGCCACAAAGTCTTGGATGGTTTCTATCTTGAGGTCGCCCGCTATGACGTCATTGCGGACCGACAATGGTCGTGTCACAGCTGTCGGAGTGCAGCGTTAGTAATCCCATCGTGCCCCGGCACCTTCCTCGGTTGCAGGCGGGTTACTGTACTCCGCAGTTCAGCGGGGGAGATGAACCACTCTCTTGCAAGCGGTGGCGCGGGCGTCGACAGGAACTCCTGTACGCGACTCTCCTTTCGGACATGAAGCTCCATGAACTCCGCACTTGCTGGGTTAAATTGCTCCGCGAAGTGCTCTACTAGGATATCCGCTCTACCCTTGGCATCGTAACGACGCTCGCCCGCGTTGTTGGTCAGCGGGCAAACGGGAGGTTTGGCTTTAGTTAACTGTTGGTTCAGTTTGTAGAGCGACGCATCGGCTCTTCCGCTTTCCATATACGTCGCTCCCAGGCTTCTCCTCTGTGTGCCTGGACTGCAACCGTCAGTTCCTCCGACAAACTGTTTAGTTGCGTTTTGATTCTCGGGCAGCGAGTACGCTCCCAGAGCCTCCTCAGCGCTCTTTTGCTCTTAATCTACACGCTTATCTCACGCGGCAGATTGTCTTTCCTTGCTGATATCGGGACGATCGTAGAGGCAGCGTGGAGGGCCTCTTGGATCGCCTTAGTAATTCTAGTAGCAGCGGCCTCTACGTCGACCGCTGTGCTTAAAGGATGGTGTGCTGGAGGTCTCTCCGGCAGGTGTTAACGGTAGAGCATCCAGTCGACACGTGTCTTAAATGCTCTGGGCGGTGTAGTCACCGCCTTTAGGCCAAGGGTAATTAAGATCGGGAGGTGCTGTGAATTAAGGTCGTACAGCATCTCTACCACTATCGGGTAGTTGACGTTCCTAGAGAGCACGATGTCCAATACATCCGGACGTTTTCGTGGGTCTGTCGGAACGTGTGTAGGTTCTTCGGGACCTAAGACGTCGTAGCTGTGTCTTTCAGCATCTTCAAATAGTGCATGACCCGGCGGGTTGATCACTCTAGATCCCCACGCCGGGTGTTTGGGGTTTAGGTCCCCGACGATGATGATAGGTGTTTCGCCTTCCATTACCGTCCGGACGTCTGAGGAGTAGAATGGAGTCCCTGGCGGGCGGTATTCTACGTAGATGCTTAGTTCCTCGCCCGCCACCTCCATTTTTATGCCGATAGAGCGCATCATTTTATAATCCGGTAAATCCAGCTCTTGATGGACGATGTCCCTTCTCACTAGAACCGCCGTCCCTCTATAGGCTTACGTACGTGTATGGGTTTAGTTTTGTCGCTCCTAGCAAGATGACTTGAATGTCTTGTTGTTGGGCGACTGTACGGAGTTCATGCAGCTTCTACTGTATCCCATCCGCGTTGCAGCAGAGGAGGCGCAGGTTACTCTCCTCCGTAATGCCGTGCTAGGAGGTTTGCCAGCGCCTTCATCACCGCTGTTATAGGATCCGTCCCGGCTCTAATATCGGCCAGGACCTGACTACCGACTTCGATGGCTATGCCAACCAAGCGTTGGATGGCGTCAGCAGTCTCGAAGCCGGCTGATGGTGTTCTTTGCGCCTGAGAAGGCATTGGCACCGGTCTCGGGTGTTGGTTTACATTTCTTTGTATATGGGTAGAGCGCGCTCTATATGTAGAGCAGGCTCTATTTTCCGATAGAGCCCTTTCTTGCACTCTACCTATTCTGGCTGCTTTGTGGTCCTTGGTAACCTGCGCCTGGGCTACCGTTAGCTGTGATTATCGGTGGCTGCCTGAGGAGGGGGCTGCACCTTCTTCTCCTTCTTCCTCCCTCGCTTGCTCTTCTGGGACGTTTGACGCTTGGTTGCGTCATTAGCAGGGGGCTGAAGAGTCGCCCCGGTGGTTGCCTTGGTTGTTGTTATAACCAGGCACCACCGTTTCCATAGGTGTCGTGACGGGTGGAGGGGGGGGCTGCCTACTGATAGTTGTCCACCCGCCTTCCTAGACCACGGCCCTGGGACGACTCTGGGGGACCCTCTTGGGCTCTTCTGGGAGTAGGCCCGGCAGAGTGATCCCCTGCTTCCATGCAATCCGCCTCAGGACTGGGCAGCGGCAATCACTGGCTGTATGGTTTTTGGCGCAATTTGCGCATCGCGGTTCTTCATCTCTACCCCTTGGGCAGTTACTGGCGATATGGTCCCCGGCGCAGCAAACACACTTCACTGGCCTGAAGCAATTCGTGGATGCATGGCCAAAGGCCTGGCAGCGGTGGCATTGAGATGGGCCCGCTCTTCCTTGCCAGGCCTCTATGACGACTCCTTTCATATACAGTAGTTCGTCGACTTAGTAAAGCTCATTTAGGCGCTCCAGGCTCAGGTGGTCCAGCTGCGCAAAGTAGAGGCATTCAGGTCTGCCTCTCCGTGGGGGGGGGCCCTTTCACGTATTTGATCGGGAACCCTTTGGCCCTGATTTGCGGATGGATCCGTGCCCACTGGCAGTCCCCGTATGCCCACTTTTGTGGGCTTATCCTCCTCGGGTGTGTAGCAGCTCAGACATGGCTGGTACTTTCTCAGTAATCTCCATAAGGTACCTTTGTACCTTATGGAGATTACTGAGAAAGAAAATTTTGGACTTTGGGGGGTGAACCTTACCCTTTTCCCGAATGAACGAGCATTCGGTGGGTGGCCCAACTTCTTGTTTAGGGTCTCGAAGTGCTTCGTCCAATACGGGAGGCACTCTGTCACTATGGGCGGGTATCTTTTTGCGGTTTCCTCTTCCAGCTTGGTTTTTGGTGCCTCAGCTGTTCTGGTCCTTGGTACTGCTGGGGCAGCTGCCAGTTGGGCGTAGCTGATCGAAGGCCTTTGACCATCGTCCGTTAGCCCGCCTGACGGGTTGGTGCTTGGCGCGGACAACGAGTGCCCGGCCGATGGCGCTAGGGTCGCATAGGTGGTTGAGTCCCACCCATACGACCCTTCTCCTCCTTGCTCCAGATCAGCAGCGGTGGGTGTAAATAAAACACAGTTCGTCATTGGTTAGTTTTCCCTACAATTATGTGCACCTAGGAGCGCAGATGGAGTCTTGTCGCCGACACAAACTGTAAATGATTACTAACTCTACATGATCGATATCGATTTTTTTAAGAATCGAATATTCTGCGTTTCCATTTTTTGGTTGGCATGCTTGTTGCAATGAGTCTGACAGCTGTCAAAATGTATTTCTTAGATTTGGTTGACTATAGTGCATTTGAATACTAGCTCAGACAGCTAACACTACTGGCTGTAGAACGTATTTCAAAAAACTAAACATTACCCTGTGTGTACATTTATAATCAATGCTTGTTATTCCAATAAAATAATAATATTTTCAAGAAGATTAAAGATACATCTAACATAAATACCCTTTACAAAAGTGAATTATACTTACCACAGTCACGAACGAAAATAAACAAAAAATGCAAACTCCTACTACTCGTATGAGGCAATAAAAATTTATAATCAATTCAAAAACCCTGGAAATAAAAAAACCATAGCATAATTAACTAAATTTCGATCAAGCCTCAGCAAATATTTAAGACAAACCTCTTCGACTACGTTACGGTTACAGCCTATTAAATTCTACTGCTGAACATAGATTTCCCCTATAGATTGCCTCTTAGGGGGGATGTTTGCCATAGCTATCACGCTTGGCAAGCGGATTGGCAACCAATGCAGTACAGTGCCTGAAAAGAGCGTCTAAGTTGTAAGCTTATTTTTAATTAAAGACCAATTATGTACATTTGAATTGCAAATAAATGATTTTATTTGATTTGATTTTAATGCCTTTTTCTCTTTTTGTAGATTACAAATTTAGGACCATCTCATTGGTTCAATTTGCCGGCTCAGATAAAAATTCCAGACAAGGTAATACAAGAATATATGCAACGGTCTAATGAACTAGTCTTTTTACTGCTTATATAATATACTTGTAACAAAGATCCGCTTCTTTTTGATAAACACATATATTAACATAAATAGAACATTCCTTTTTCTTCTCAAAATTTGATTGTAACCAGCATCATACTCGTATAAAACACATTTACAACGTTGTGCGGGGTGGCCATTTGGCGTGCGTTTTGGTGCGCACTTCAATTTCGTGCAGTGTAAACGTGTATTTATTTCATTTCATAATAGTAATAATAATAATAATGTTTCCAGACTGACAAGATAGAGCGAACAGTAGTGTTTACCTGATAACAGCTGAATAAAATAAAAAATGCTGTTGAAAACTCACATGCCAAGCGTGGCAAGTGGCAACTAAGATAAATATCCCTCCTATGACGCTTTTTATCCCTCCTATAACGCTTTTTATCCCTCATATGATACTTTTGATAGCCTGTAATTATGATAGTGCAAAACATACTTATTTCGTATTAAGCTGGATATTTTATTGTCTAAAAAAATAATTTACAGGTGAGCCTTTCCAACACTGTCGACGGATGTTCAAAAGCTATTGGTGGACTTCAATGTTCTTGGTCGCTTCATGCTCGGTCCTCTCAAACTATTTCACTTTCATTCAAGTTCCATCTAAGCTTACATGGTACGTGTATACCTACGCATTATTACGTGTTTGTGTTGTTGTTTCAAGAACAAAAGTATTCTTCCTGTAAAGTGAACTTACTGCATATATACGCCCCACTGCTGGGTACAGACCTCTCCTTATTTCCGAGTGAGTCATAGAACAATTAGTATATCGCGCTGTTCTAAATGTTATCCTACCAGAACATATTTGTGTAACGGGGTTCATAAAAAAGTTGATTTCTAAACGGGCTTAAGTTATTATTTATATTATATTATATTAACTTAAGTTCATAGCAGTAACAGAACGTTGTATGTACCTATAGGTCTTATGATTTAAATCTGCTATAGAGCTGGTCACCCAACTAAAAGCCAACTACACCCATTAACTCCCTGCATGTTTCATCAGGTCGTCACTCGATCTAGTCTCGGACTGATCAAATACTTACTGAACAGTAAGTAGTACGTGTCAGATGTAACCTCGTATAGTTTGAGAACCTTTCTTCTCCATCGTTGGTTAATTCTTCCGCTTGTATGGCTATACTGCCCTTATTATATGCAGTTTTTTTTTCAAATTTTCAGGTGACTACCTGGCAGCTAATACGACACTCAACGCTACCTCTGCAATAATTTTGCTGTTAGAAAACCAAAATAGGTGAGACTTTAAAGAGTTTTCATTTTATTATTAATAATGGAAATGCGAACCACTCTCCTGAGTACTTTCTTAAACCGTTCGTTAGTAATCGTACGAAAAACGTATAAATATAAATAACATGATTGATTTGTTTAGTAGAAACGCAACTGTAACGACGACTCTGGTGTTAGACCCCGCACCGCCCATCTGGCCGTTGATAGTTGGCATTGTAGCTGGTCTTTTAGTCCTCGCTACAATAGTTTACGGTCTTTATAAGGTAAAAACTTTTTTAATTTATTTATATTTTTTTAATTCTACATAAAATATAAAAAGAATTGAGGTAGCCTTTTTCTGTTCTTATTTTTAAGTGATAATGCCGTAAGCAAGAACCAATTTGAATAGAAATAGAAAATGATATGTCGTCATTGATTTGTATATTAGACCGTGAAGTATGAGAATGTTAGTCAATACGGTCGCTAAGAATTTTAGCGTCGTTGTAGTTTTATTGTGACCAACGGAAAGCAATTGATTTTTATATGTCGCAGACATATGATAAAATCAAACTAACCTTACCTTACTTAACCTTAAATTTTATTATAAACCTAAACAAGTTCAGGTTTTTCAACAAAAACAAGGATTTGTTCGGGTTAAATAATAACTTCGTCTTCTTCGGTTCTTGATTAAACGTCCTGGGTTTTTGATGAAAAACCTGACTTTATCATAATCCTGGGACATATATTGAGATAAGTATATTAATTTATAATATATATCTCAATAGTAAATATCTCGTTATTTACTGTGAATTACAATACAATTCTGATTGCTCATATCTGTTGCTGGCAATAATACATTAGGCTAAAAGAATGTAATCTAAAATCACTTTAAAAAATATCTAGATCACTTATAACAACCCAGCAATCGTTTGTGAGTTTTTATTAAAATATTACGAATATTGTTAGTTATTTCATGTTATTTAATTCAAAGCCTTTCTGTTCACAGTACGGATTTTTCACAAGAAAGAAGCGAGAGGATCTCAAGAGACTTCAAGAACAAAGCGACGACTCTAATTCTCTCGCTGACTTAACACTTGATGACAATGATATGTGCACACAAGACAAACTCTTTGAGGATTCTGATTGAAAAAAAAATTCCTAGCACTAAACAACCTGAAGTATGGGTGACTTGAAATCAAGCCATAAAGAATTAGGCTGGATGTTTATTATTGCCTGGTGTTCACAACATGATTGTTGGAATCGAACTGAAGTCGAAGTAAAAAATTATATTTTACAAATTTTTCTCTTTTTATGGCTTAAGATTTTTAAAATTACTATATCAAAGCAACGATAGCTTTATGTGCTGCGTACTCCTATAGTCAGACAGAATCTGTCATGATATTTGCATTTTTGTCATTAAAGATATAATTACTGTTAGTTTGTCGCTGTGTTTGATAAAATATTAAGGTATAAAATGTCAATATGAAAAAAAAACACTTAATATGAAATACGAAGTGAAACTAAATGTCTACGTATATGCCCGAATCTGATCTCTTTCTTCTGATTTGTTTAATAACCCTCAAGCCAACAAAGAAATATATTCGGAGTGCTGCATGCATTTCATGTGAAACCAAAACAATGATCAACTTCTTACACGCACTCCCTCACACATCCTACTTCTTTCTTTATGAACCCGCAAAACTTCACTGCGGAACATAAAACCATTTTATTTGTTGGAAATTATTTTAGTTGCATATGTGTACGTGAGTGCGTTTTCTGACAATAAGTTGAGCTTGGTTTCGGCTTAGTTTTTGCGCTAGCACATCGTCTTTCTTTGTTGGTCTGCTAATACATTTTTTCTTTCATACTTTTTACTCTAAGCTTTTTCCTCTTTAACTTTATGAGTTCTGACAGCCCACAACTACCAAAGCCTTTAACTCTATAAAGCTATCACTCAATTTATTTAAAAATAATGATTTTTTATCGGTCATATAATATCCGTGAATTTTAATGGAATATAATCGTATATTAATCTATAATATCCATTTAATTTCTGTGGAGATGTATTTCCAACATATTTCTCTCACTAAGCAGCTGTTATTTTTACGGTGTAAAATAATTATAAACCTTATTTAGCTTATTATGCTGTGTGAATGTAAATATATGTTTGTATATAAGTGCAATTAATACTCATATTTTAATTAAGATGCTTCAATGTAAATAAATAGTGCTAAATACTAATTGTATACGTTATTTCGGATCCTGAGCTCTACTTATGAATTGCTCAATAATACTTTTTAATTTTGCGTCCTCTAGTATATTGTAACATATAGTCATTTAACTGCCCAAAATTATATTTTTAAGGATATTACGATATTATTATGTTCATAAAAAATAAAAACGTCTAACTTTATTGGGTTGTTTTATTGGCTCCGAATAAAGCCAATTGCTATATTTCGCACAATTTTGTATTCTATTATTAACAACAGTTTTAAATCAACGAGGACTAATAATATTCCACTCATCATATGTCATTACCAGTTGACATTGAGGTGAATTTTTGTTACACAATATCACTTAACTGAAAAGTTAGTTTTAAATAAAAGTTTATCAGTTTCTATAGTATTGTTATATCACACCAAACAATGTTGGGTTTCCCTATTTTTCACATTTTTAACTTTTATTTAATTTATTTTCTTTTATGAATATCTGGTTTTATTTATCTATTTTCAATCTAATTTATATAAAATGAAAGAAACATTAACCTTTACATTTTTCAAACAAATTAACTTCCCCGCTACGATATCTGTCAAGTACGAGTATTATATACATCATTTTATTATACATCATTTTCTCCTTCATCCTTCATGACAATGACCAATAATAACCAAAATGACGCCTAAAGTAGCCGTAATTCACTGAGAATATTACAAAAAAGCCTCTTGTAATACCCTCAGTGAATTAGTACTCGTTTATAACACTTCGTAGCCAATACAAGCTCAGTTTCGAGATTTCTTTTGTTATTCTTTAACCCAATTAAGTTGAAAAATACGCAAATATTTATAAAAATCTGATTTCTGGTGTTAATGTTTTTAGATTTCAAGCTAGAAAGTTGCGTGGAATTTGGCGAGTGGTTCACATTGAATAATACTAATTCTATAGATTTTATCGTGTCCTACTATCATAAGCATCATCATCATCTTTACAAACCATCAGAAGTCCACTAATGGCCTTCCTCCTACGAATGCCACAATGCACGGTGCTGAGCCACCTGCATACATCGACTTTATTTATCTCTTACCAGGTGGTCATGTAACACGAAAATTTTCGTGTACTTCATTTTAGCATATATTTATGTTATTACATTCGATGAACGGACATCAGTGCGCCATCTAACGTCATTAGTCCGAAGTAACTAGAAACGTATATTGACGAATCGAGCTTGCTAATTGCATGCAATTGACCTTTCGTGTTAGTTCGAAATCCTACCACAGATCGACGGTGGCGCGTAGCCCAAGGGAGGCCTAGTTTTTTTGGTCGGGGCCGAGCCGTTGTAATGATCGGACACGCACAGATATAATTTTTGAATCGAAACGCCGGAACCTGAATTTAAAGTGACGAGTACTTGGGCGTACGGCCCCTTAAACACAATGTCTACAGGCAGTTTAATGTGTTGAAACACATCATCCCATAAATTGGATCCTTAGTCCTTACTTTGAGTATGGTCCATTATCAAGTTTAACTGTGTGAACGAGGCGAGGCAGCTTCAACTGGTGGCTATATTGGGACTGGGCGGCCTGGAGACCGTGACCGGAGTGCACCTGGAGGACATCTGCTACCTCACTGCTTCGCGGGATTAACCATAAACAGTGTAATATTGTGTAATCCACCAGGTTAGTCAAAAAGCTCAATTCCCAGGGTATTTTAAAGTGACAACTTGATATTTGGAGCTATCCGTATGAACTTTAGAAGGAAATAAACTACCTTTTGTCTGTATATGTATCTTTGAATTTTCATTTACTAATCATCCAACCACAGGCGCCCTGGGATATTTTTATTTTGATACTCGAGTCTTTTAACTCTCCGATGACCGTAGCCGGTGAGTAACGCCCTAAAAAGTGTTATTAACTTAAATTTGCAGCGAGCTTAGTTTCGCCCTCCAAAATTCGTCCTCCAAAAATTCATGACCGATGGTACATTCTTGTAAAGGCCAACAGTGCAGCAAAATATGTCTAAGGTATAATATAAAAGATCGACTTTACAAACGGTTTTGTGAATTTAAGCAATTGTTTAACTTTAACCTCTTTCCAAATATTTGCGTCTTTTAATTACAAAATTTCCTCATCAACGGTTTCTGATTAACAGTTTCGTCATCAGTTTTTGTTTACACTCATTAATATATTTAAGCCAAGGTTTCAACTATACAAAATTAGAATTTTAATAACGGTGCTGAGATTGTGTATGAAAAGCATTAAAGCTCTGTCTTTAGAAGCTACTATGTGGAAATTATTTTGTTCTTTTTAGTTCCTAGAAATCTTCTTTCTTAGTTATCCTTTTTATAAAAAGACTTATTTTATAGCCCTTTTGAGTTTTTTTTAAAGGACAATGGTGACAAATGAGTACCCAGCCCACCTGTGGGTAAGTTGGTGCTGTGGCCTACAGACATCTACACTTATCTTCAATTAGGAATAAAAATACAGATGCGCTGTCTTCCCTGAGGACTGAGACGAAATAACTCGTTTACAGTAAAAATGGTCTCCAATTCTCTACACTCACTATACGAAACACAGCAGCATCCTAAGCTATTTTACGCAAAATCTTTGATTTTACGCTAGTATTCTGTGAGAGCATGGTCCTACCCCGGTCGAGCCGACGCCTTCGTGCTACAACCGTTAATACAGTTGCAACGTGGCTTCTCCTCGTACGTATGGAAAGAAATATCAAAGGCTCCAATTTCTACATAATAACACTAAAAACTTCGTACTGTATTTTTTTCATCCTTTGGTGTAGAATTTATCCCCAAAATTTATATTGGACAACCCCTGACGTATAACTTATTTAAAAAAATCATTAAAAATCTGTTCACAATCTACGAAGATATCTAGTACATACATACGAAAAAGAACATACACTTTTTGCAATATTTTTTTATAAATTAACGAAGACAATTGAGCAGATACCAGATAGTACCTATCGTTTGATGCACATCATTTAAATTGTACGACATCAGTGTAGCAGAGTGTCTATAAGTCCGGTGTAGAAAGGGAGTGTTATAAACAGAAGGAAATGACACGTCAACTAAACTGCTCTCGAAGTGTTCCAGCTAACGGGGTCCCGGTTGGTATATTCTGCAAGTGAAAAGTTCATTCACGATATCTTTTTAATCGGCATCTGACATGTTGTTAAATTACAACCTATGTTTTATAACTTTTATTTAGTTTTAAGGGATTCTTTTGATAACATTTCGCCATTCCTATTCCATATAAAATAATCATACAATTTTCATTTCGTGGAGCTATGCTCCAACTATATTTTAGTTTTCCTCGACTATGCTGACATTTGTTACCTTGATATCACAGAGGAGCAACTTAATAAACTTGAGCGACTCCAAAATCTCTGTATACGGTTCATATTTGGGCTTCATAAATATGACTATGTCTCGGAATACCGCACTAAACTCAAGTGGCTCCCAATCCGTCTTCGTCGGAATACTCATATACTTTCTGCGCTTAATCTATCTAAAAGAACGTTTTAAATTTCTTAACTCTTGTCCCGACTTTTCCTTACGGTCCAACGAAAATCTTTCGCTCCAATGTCCTGTACATTCTTCGACATTTTATGATAAAACTTTTGCTGTTCTTGGAGTAAGACTCTGGAACTCCTTATCCCAGTCAATTAAAAGTGGTCAATCATTAAATGTGTTCAAGAATCAGATTAAGGACCACTATTTGTCTCTTTAACTCATCTCTCTTCCTCCTCTTAGTTATGGTTATTAATCTACCTAAAGTATGTTGTTATTTTAGTATATAAGTTTGTATTTTTTTTTCTCATTTAGTACATCCTATCCGTTGATCTTATTTTTATTTTTATTAATTTCCTTTTCTGCGTTTCCTGGAAGAGATCGCTATGTAGCAATAAGACCGCCTT